GTCGCTTTCTCCCTGCCGCCGCCGCTGCTCGGTTATTCTCGGAGTGCTGTTTTTCTAATAGGCTCGGTGTGCTCGGGGTGCTGTTTTTAGTTTGGTTGTGCTCGGCGTCGTCGGTTGTTTTCTAATACAAAAAAAAAAAAAAAACACAAAAAACAAAAAAAAACAAAAAAAAACAAAAAAAAAAAAACAAAAGAACCCAAAAAAAAAAAATTCAATTTTGCTTGCTTACTTTCAACGATGATTATCACCGATCTTTCATCCGCCGACCAGGCTACTCATCTTCGGTCACCGGTATCTTCTTCACAGACATCAGTATCAATTCTTCAACCTAGTATGCAATCTCTCAATCATTCTTTTACTGTGAAGCTGCAATCTCGGGCCAACTATTCGTCTTGGCGTCTTCAGTTTACTCCTTTATTGACTATGTTTCGTGTTGCCGGTATTGTCGACGGCACCGAACCTGCACCTCACGTTTTCTTCCTTCCGTTAGTGGTGCCGTGCCTCAACTCAATCCTGAGTTTGATATCTGGCAGCAAAAGGATTAGTTGGTCCTCTCTTGGATTCTTTCTTCCGTTGCTGAAGAGATCTTTCCCGTTCTCCAGGGCTGCACAACATCGGCGGCTGTATGGACAGCTCTTCAGCAGGGATTCGGCACTCTTTCTTATGCTCAACAGACCCAGCTTGTTATGGAGCTCCACAGCTTGCAAAAAGGTGACTTGTCGGTCACGGCTCTCCTCTCCAAAGCGAAGGGCATCGCCGATACACTGCAGCTTGCCGGCCATCGCATATCTCCTGCGGAGTTTAATGCAATAATCTTTTGCAAGCTTGGTGCCGAATTCAATGGCATCATCAGAGCTCTGCAACAGCGATCCGAACCCCCCTCCTATCAAGATCTCCTTGGACAGTTAGTTTCGTATGAGGTGCTTCTTCACGCCCAACAGCCGATCCTTCAACCCACGGCCATGCTTGTGCAGTCGCCACCTTCTCCTACGCCGCCTCAATCCTCTCGTACCGGTCGCTCACAACGCGGCGGCCAGCGCAATCAGGTTTCTGGTCGTGGTGGTGGTCCGCGTGGGTACACCCCTCCTGCCCCGGGTGAGACGTGTCAGCTTTGCGGCATCTTGAATCACACGGCCGCCACTTGTCGCCGCCGTTTTGATACTAATTTTGTTCCTCGACCCCCTGCCGTTCGGTCGGCTGCTTATGCCCAGTGCAGTTCCCCGCACCGCCTTCACTGGTTTGTTGCCTCTTCCGTCTTACCGGAGTCGACTATGTCTCCTCAAGCCCATATGGCGCAGTATGCCCTTCTGTCACTCCACGGCATCCGCCACCGGTGCTACCGATCATGTCACGCCAGATTTGTCCTCTCTCAGTATCTCCAATGATTATACGGGTACGGATCATATTTTAGTTGGTAATGGCGATGCTTTACCTATTCAGCATGTTGGTCAATCTGTTTTGCCATCGTTTTCTCGTCCTCTTTATTTAAATCGTGTCTTGCATGCTCCTTCTCTTACTAAGCCTCTGTTATCTGTTCAAAAGTTTACCCGTGATAATCACTGTTTTTTTGAATTCTATTCTGACTCTTGTTGTGTTAAGGATCTTTCAACCAAGGAACTCCTCCTCCGCGGTCGGGCTGATAATGGTCTCTATTGCTTAGATCTTCTTGCTCGTGGTTCCTTGTCTCCAGCAGCTTATCTTGTCTCTTTAGGTCAGTGGCATGCTCGTTTAGGGCACCCTAATAATGTCACTCTTCGTACTTTGGTTAGGCAGTTTCAACTTCCTTATTCCTCTGGTGTCCACGTCCACTGATAAATGTGAGGCGTGTTGTTTAGGGAAGTTACATAGGGTCAGTTTACCTTCTACTTTTCATCGTAGCTCTAAACCTCTTGATTTAATTCACACTGATGTTTGGGGTCCTGCTCCTATTTTGTCATTCAATGGTTATCGCTACTTTGTACTTTTCATTGATGACTTCTCTTTATTCACATGGATTTATCCCATTAAGTATAAAAGTGATGTTGTCCATGTCTTCAAGCAATTCAAAGCTCTCATAGAAAACCAATTTGGCACTACCATTAAAAGTGTTAACTCTGGTGAATTTCGTTCTCTTAATTCTTTCTTTAAGGATGTCGGTATTGTTCATCGTTTAGCGTGCCCACACACTCATGAGCAGAATGGCACTGCTGAACGCAAAATTCGTCACATTGTCGACATTGGACTTGCTCTCCTTGGTCATTCCAGTACCCCTTTTCGGTTTTGGGATTTTGCTTTTGAAACTGCTGTGTTTTTGATTAATCGCCACCCTAGTAAACCTCTTCAAGGTCACCTACCCTTCACTACACTATATCACCAGCCACCTGAATACCTTTCTTCGTGTCTTTGGTTGCGCTGTCTACCCTCTTCTTCGCCCTTATAATAAACATAAATTCTCCTTTCGTTCTACTCAGTGTGTCTTTCTTGGGTATTCACCATCTCATCTTGGTTATCGCTATTTTGATGTGGTGAATAACCGTCTTTATGTTGCTCGTCACGTTGAGTTTGATGAGAAACTCTTTCCCTTTAAACTTCCTATTTCTAGTTCTCCTTCTTCGCTGCTGGAGTCTCCTGCTACCCCGTGGTTGCGTGTAACCAGTTCTCCTAGTATGCTTGCGTCATCTTCTGCGTCTTCTTCGTCTCCTTCTAGTACACCAGTTCTTTCGTCTCCTCCTATCCCTCCCGACTCATCACCGTTAGCTAGATCTCCTGCCTCCAGCTCTTCATCATCTGATTGCAGTCCTCCGCCGCCACCTCCTCCTCCTTCTTCCCGTCAGCACTCAATGACACTTCGTCCACAACCCAAGCCCAAGAAAATCTTTGATCCCTCGGCTCATCTTACCTCTGTTTCCCCAACCTTGTCTACTGCTCCTACATCTTTTACCCAAGCCAAATCTCTTCCTCAGTGGCAGAATGCCATGAAGGATGAAATTTCCGCCCTCCTCAAAAATAACACATGGACTTTAGTTCCCCCTCTTTCCTCCGGCAATGTTGTCGGCAATTGATGGCTCTATAAGATTAAAACTCATGTTGATGGCTCCATCGAGCGGTATAAGGCTCGGTTGGTGGCTCGAGGTTTTACTCAGTCTTTTGGGGTTGATTACACTGACACATTTAGTCCGGTTGTTAAGCCGGTCACCATTCGTTTGGTGTTGACTGTTGCCCTGGCTCGTGGATGGTCGATTTCTCAGCTTGATGTCAGTAATGCCTTTCTTAATGGAGTTCTAAGTGAGACCGTGTATATGGTTCAGCCACAGGGGTTTGTTGATTCGGTGCGCCCTCATTATGTGTGTAAACTGCATAAGTCCTTATACGGTCTTAAGCAAGCTCCTCGGGCCTGGTATTCTCGGCTGGCAGCATTTCTACTTACCTTGGGTTTTGTGGAGTCTCGTTGTGACCCGTCTCTTTTTGTCTATCGTCGTGGGGCTCAGTTGTGTTTTTTGCTGGTCTATGTGGATGACATTATTCTTACAGGCAGCACTTCTGGTTTGGTTCAGCAGTTTATCTCTTGTCTTGCTAAGGAGTTTTCTCTTCGAGATTTAGGTCCCTTGAGTTACTTTCTTGGGGTTGAGGTTCGTCGTACTTCCAAGGGTTTGCTTCTCTCTCAGCGCAAGTATGTAACTGATTTGCTACGACTTGCAAATATGCATACTTACAAACCTGTTTCCACTCCTTTGCAGGCTAATGTTGTGTTGTCCCGTTTGGATGGTACTCTGTTGTCTCCTGATGATGCGACCACTTATCGTCGGCTGTGTGGCAGTCTGTAGTATACGACTCTCACTCGTCCAGATATCTCCTTTGCGGTTAATAAGCTTTGTCAGTTTATGCATCAGCCTCGCACTTCTCATTTTCAGGCTCTCAAACGGGTTCTTCGCTATCTTCGTGGTACCGTTGATTACTGTTTAGTTCTGCATCCTATAGATTTGGGTACTCTTACTGCGTTTAGTGATGCTGACTGGGTTGGTTGTCCGGATGATCGGCGTTCTACTACTGGTTTTCTCATTTATTTGGGACCTAATCTCATTGCCTGGGCATCTAGGAAGCAGCCCACTGTGGCTCGCTCGTCTACTGAGGCTGAGTTTCGTGCGGTTGCTAATGTCTGCGTTGAACTGCATTGGGTGTGTCATCTGTTGTCCGAGTTAGGAGTTTCTTTATATCGCCCTCCCTCTATTTGGTGTGACAACAGTAGTGCAGTTTTCCTTGCTGTCAATCCTGTGTTCCATGCTCGTACAAGACATGTTGAGGTTGATTTTCACTTTGTTCGCGATCATGTTCGGCGTAAGTTTGTTTCGGTGCATTCTATCTCTGCTGCTGATCAGTTTGCTGATATTCTGACAAAACCCTTGTCCAAAGAGTTATTCTTTCGATTTCGGGACAAACTTCGGCTTCTCCCTTCTCCGCCGTAAGTTTGCGGGGGCGTATTGTAATATTTAGTATATTTCCTATTATGTTCTAGTTTAGGGTTTGTTATTGTCTATATATAGTCTGTATATTGTGCACAACATATGATGAATCTAATACAATTTCCCTATTCTAAGTGGCACAAACAGGATTTTCATTGAGCAGGGATAAAACCGTATTTTTATTTTCATTCTAATATCATTAAATATACAAACCAAGCAGCCAAAATAAATTTTTGATACCCTTAAAAAATTATTGATTTTATCAATCCCATCTATATTCTATGAAATCTATTTCCTACTATCATACCTTAGTTGAACCAGACACCTCTTAAAGTAATTTGGCCAAACCACGAGGGATGAAATTGTTACTTGCATCAAAACCACACATAATATAGTTTAATTGTTTTTCCCCCTTTTTTTTCTTTAGAAAATAAAATAAATAAAAAAAAAAAACGTTTTTTTCCCTCTCAAGTAAAGCTGTACCCCAAATCAGGGGTCGCAATTAATACAATCCTTAGATTTTCAAATTCATACTTTGGCGGGTTAAAGCACCGATGGGGAGGGTGGGGTCCACAGTGTCTGAATCCCAGTACAAAATTCCGCCCAAGACTGAAAGAACTGGAGAAATGAAAAATTAAGACTAATCAGGTAATATATGACGTCAGGTAATATGACGTCTCTGATTCCCAGCGCTTTGAACGCCGACGAAGACCTCGACGACGCCGCTTTATGGGCCGCCGTCGAATCAGCCGCCGACGCCGCTTCTCTCTCCGCATCCTCCGCCACTAACCCTCAGAGATTTGTCCCCCTCAGAAATGCTTCCCCAGTCCCCGCCATATCCAGAACCCCCAGAATCCATCGAAATTACTCCGACGGAGAGGTCTTGCAAGAATCTCGGGGCCACGATCAGAACCACCGGCCACCCAAAATCGCCAGGTCGAACTCGTTTCAGAGGAGTCCGCAAACCCTGGCGGTGGTGAAGCACGTGCCCCGCACGCCTACGACGCCGCCGGTGTTTCACTCCCCGGAGGCCAGAACTGCAGATGTTTCGCCATTCTCCCGGAATCGTAACTGTCCTCTTCAATCTTATCATTCACCGGTTTCCACGCCGACGAATCCGGAAACTACCGTGATGCGACATAGCTTGTCTGGTCGGTTCCCGACGGTGTCTCTGTTTAAAGAGTATCAGGATGCAGCTATGGCGGTATATTTACTAAATCATTCATCTGTGTTTGTTCTTTTTTTGTTGATGTATGCTTGCCTTTTATTGATCTCTTAAATCTTAAATTATGGACTTTATGGGTAGGCAAACTTGTTATTGTACAACAACTGTTTGATATGTCATCAAGGCCAAATAACTTACTATAATCAGTATTCCTCATTGCTAAGATGTGCTTTTCTCCCGATGTTAAACGCTCTGAAAGGAATCAAAAAGCCAAAAACAGAGGCTTGGAAGTTGGAACAATATAGAGTTTTGAAAGTCGCTTAGCTATAATTTTACTTAGTCTTTTGTTTCGGTTGGATTGTTACATGGAGCTGTCAATGATAATACACATAGGATTTACCTTCGTCTTCATAGCAGTCAAAGGGCACTTATTTACATCTCATTTGTCACATCAATCCACTTATTATCTCATCTTATGCATATTTATACTGACTGTGGAACATCATTGGAGTTATTGTGTCCAAAGTCCATGGTTTTAGTTCTCCATCCGTGGAACTCTTTTTATTGTATGATGTATGATTTTCAATTTAAGTACATTGCATTTTTACAAGACATGTATTTGTATTCCAATTTGAAAATCGCATCTCTTATTTAGTAATGTGTTTCAAGCCATTGTTAGCTGCAGAGTTCCATTTGAAATCACAGGAAAGTGAATGTTGGTTTACAAAGATAGGAACAAAACCATCTACAGTCTCTCTCTTTTTTTTTCTATGCTCATGGCGATTTTTGCATCTTGTTTTCCAGCTCATAACTTTAAAATTGTTCTGTGTATTTGGCCAGTAATGGGAGTTGAGGATCATTACATTTCTGTGCAGATTCTTGAGAAAAGTGACTACACCATGATATCTGGACACCCTTTCATTAAGAAAACAGGCATGTTCGTACTCCTGTTGTTATTCTCTAGTAGATATTGCAAATTGTGTAATGGCTGTTTTCTCTTATATTTGTTGTAGGGTGGAGGAAGATAGCATTCTACTTCAATCTATCTTTTGAAATTAAGGATAAGACAATTGAATTTGACGAACACCGCAATGTTCAGCGAGCAGAGTTTATTGTTCGGGCACATATGCAGTATGTTAGTTGGCCTTTATGGTTTCAAAATTTGTTTATAATTAACATTTTTCTTTTAATTATTTTGTTCTTGTATGTAGTGGTGGTAGATTTTCAGATGGATGGGGCTCATGTGAGAAGCGAGAAAAAAAGTTTATGAAACCAAACCATGATATTCCAAGCACAGCTGAAACTAGGGCAAAAAATAAGGCATGTCAGGTATAATTTTTTCACCAGAATCATTCAAAGTTTAGTGCTGTCTATAGGGGCTCAAATGCAATGTGTATAATTATTTTATGTATTGCCTATATATTAGTGGGACAGATTTGTACTGCCTTTCTAAGCCCAAGTTCTGTTTTTACCTAGATTGATTTTGAATTTCAGGGTGCTTTGCTGCATCAGTTGGCATAACTCACAAATAATATGAAGACTAGCATTTGCATGTGTATCACTTAAAGTCGGAAGTAGTGTGGTTTATATGTATGGCCTGTAATACTTAGACCACATGTCTTGAGCTATAACAAAAAGATACTTTTGCCATAAACAAGGAAAGTTTGGAGTAGTACTACTAAACAAACATTATCCTCTGAAGTTTTTTCATCATATTCTCTTCTTCTTCTTTTTCTTCTTTTCAAACATCAAAGTAGCCAGTTCTGAAACTACTGTATACGAGATTCAACTTTCTGTAGTTAATGGTGAGGGTGGATTCTGGAGAAAAATCTATTGACATCATCATGGGTTGAGGCTGTCACTTACCCATGCTTGCATTTCTAGAAAACTATTCTTCTGTCACCTAGAAAAACAGATGAGTGTTTTTTTTTTTTGGTCTCATTGCATGCTAATGGGTTAGTCTGCCATTATTCTGAGCACGACTCATTTTTGTAGTGTTCTACAATGTCTGCAAGTAAATCTTAAGTTCTAAACCTTTGCAGGATCTTCTAGGTATTGGAGAATATCGTCCTGGTGGTAGCCATGGTCAGCAATAAATCGAATTTACAGAGTTCAAGCTGAAAGTCTTGGTTAATAGCTGATCCAAACGAGAAGAGGTGTTTATACATCGTAAGCATAGATTTTCCTCACAAAGCTTCTAATTTGAGGTGATATTTTGAATGGCTTTATTTTTCAGTAACCAAGGATCCAAAAGGTAACAGAGACTTGTTAACTAAATGGTTTCTATTCCATGAAGCAGCAATGTTCTCTCAAAAATCAAAATGATTTACTGGGATAAACATATTACTCTTGATTGATTCACACTCGGTACTGTTGCTTTTTAAGAGTTGTCAGAGGCCCAATCCTTATTTTTGCAGAATGCACATGAAACCTCTTCCTTGTTTATATTAACCACTTTATGTGTTTGTGTTCTATGATTTGTCTTAGTTCACCTTGTAAGTTTCATATTTCAATTGCAAAATTTTGGCGACAAGTGACGCTATTGTTCTGTTTGAACAAAGCTGCTCGAAACAGTATAAAAAGTAGAGTTTTTGAGTTAAAAAATGGTTCAAAAAAAGGAATAGAGATAAATATAAGTTGAATTTTGGGGAAAAGAAAAATACCGATATCGGATTCCTAAAATCCGATTTTTGACCTAAATCGGATTTGGCAAATCTGACCTACGCTAAATACGAAAAATTAATGAAATTAATCAAGATTAAGAGAAAATCGGATTTCTAAAATCCGACCCTAATATATTAAAATAATATATTTTCCGAAAAACACTTAGTTTTTTTTTTGAAATAAAATTTTGACCGAAGTCGGATTTTTAAAATCCGATTTTGCTTTAAGGCCGGATATCATGAATCCGGGTAAGCTTAAATCGGATTTTGAGAATCCGTGTAAGCTAAGGTCGGATTCTTAAAATCCGATTTATTCTTAAAACAAGTTGAAGGTCGGATTTCTTAAATCCGACCTTGGACAGACTCTTTGAAAAAAATAAAAGATTGGTTTCTAAACTAATCCCAATCTATCAAAACCGCACCAAAACCAAATTTTACAAATAAAATTACCTATAAACACATTCTAAACACATCAAAACAAACATTAACAAATTCAAATCCCAAATCATCCAAATTACAACATTTATACATGAAAGAGTTATAAATTAAAGAGTCCTACAATTGAATTACTTTGACGACCTTTTCTTCCTTGTAGCCCCATCGCCGGGAGTATACTTCTTGGCCGGTTTACTAACCCTATCACTCTTGCGAACCTCGACCGTTTTCTTTTTCTTTTGGGAAGAAACTCGAGGTGGAGAGGACTCTTCTTCTTCTTCTTCTTCTTCTTCTTCGCCCCTAATGTAGTAATCCTCATCGCTTTCATTGCCTTCATCATTTTCATCATCTTCTTGCATCGGAGTTGGATTAGAATGAACTATGATTGTTCGATCTGAAATTCCCGGTCGCTTCCTCCTTCCTCCTCCAGTAGGCTTCGATGTTGTTTTCTGCGTGAGTACCACATTTTGACTTGACTCAGGGGGTCTTTTCTGAAGAACTTGAGTATCGGACTGAGTGCTCATATCACGTGGGCCCAAAGTCAGGGCACTGAAACTCTTGTCGAAGATTTGGAAGAGTTTATCCTCTAGACTACCACCAAGGCTTGGATTTTCCCGTAAGGCTGCATCAGCGAGATGATATATGTCGCTGAGATTGGAAGACTGTAGAAAATTGAACCATGAGAATAAAGTGTAAGATATAGCAAGAATTAAAATATAAAAAAAAATTTAAGTCAAAATATAATATTAGATCTTACATAAAATCTCTCCAGAGATGAAGACGAGTGATAACCCTGTGCCAGAGGGCCATATTGAGTGGGATCAGTCATAAATCTGATAGTCTTCTTTTGAAACCACGGCATGTAGTCCGATGTGCATTGGAGACCTAGTTCCGGATCACCCAATTCATGAGGGACCACGTGCTGATCTCTCACATTCCAATGAGGTCGTACCTCAGTGTGTTTTTGCACCCAATCATCATATGCCTTTCCAGTCCCAAGGCATCCGTGGTGTATCGCATTCCAGCGATCAATGTCATTGATTAACGGGTACTCGGCACGGTTTGGACGCATTGAAATTGACGAAGGACCCGATTGGGCTCGTATGGTTCTCTGATGGCCCAACAAAAGATCCACGTCCTACAGAGGTAGAAATTAACTCCCTCTTTACAGAAATCAGGGAGATCGTCGATGAAGGGAGTGCATGGAGTCCATAGAAACTGTCCAAAAATAAAAAATTGGTAAAAAAAAAAAATGTAAAATATGAAAAGGAATTTTTTCAACTGCAACTTAAATCAATACTTACATCCCCATCCCTTAGGCTAGATAACCGATCCCTATTGCCTAATGGTGCGTCCGGCACCAAGTAACTCTCATTTTTAACCTTCCTCTTTGGTTGAAGTCTTGGGATACGCTCCCAAACCCATAACTGAAATTTTAAATCAAATAGAAAAGACACAAATTAGGAAAACAAACAAAAATATAATAAAAAAATATAAATAAACAAAGAAACACAAAAATTCACCTGCATCAGCATATAACATCCGGTAATCTTTTTTCCCGGGCGCGGAAGCTTGACACAGAGCAAAGTACAACTTAGCTAAAACAACTGACCCCCAACTGTAGGTAGCACAGACATCCAAATCCTCGAGTATTGTTAGGATCCAAAGTGGTATTCTGTTTCCCGTATTGTCGGGAATCAAGAAACCTCCAATCAATAGTAACAGTAATGCACGGGCCCTCTGTGTATAAGCTTCTCTTGGGGCATTTTCTGGGATCGGACGCAGACACTCGTTGATTAAACACTCTGCATAAATCTTATTCCCATCAAACATGTCACTAACGGGTGTAATTCCCAACAATCTAAAGCACAATGCCATCCACTGTGCCATAGAATTCTCAGGTGTCATCCCCTCCACAGCTTACCATCCACTTTCAACCCTAATAACACCTCAACGTCTTCTAGAGTGATAGTGGCCTCGCCAAAATGAAAATGAAATGTATGAGTTTCAGGCCTCCACCTCTCAACCATTGCGGTGATCAAACAATTGTCCGCTTGTATATAACCTAGTTGGATCACCCCCCCAAAGCCTGCCCGCCTTATCTCATCTATGACTTGTGGAGGGCAATGCCGAGATGGTTTCTCTATACAAGTCCAAAAATGACTATTAAATCTCCTGCCTTTAAGGGCTTTACTAAAAGCCTCATGGTTCTCGAAAATGGCTTTCGCCCTATGATGGTCATATAGGTATAATAATGAGTCATCTATTGGAGCCGGATTAAAATGTTGCAGTGTGGGTTGTGAGGAACTCGAACCCTCCATATTTTAATCCTATAATACCAAATACTATCAATACCAATACCAATACCAATATCACTACCCATATCAATACACACACACCAATACCAATATCAACACACACACACACAGTGCCGGCACACACAGAGTGCCGGCAACACACACACGCACACACAGTGCCGGCACACACAGAGTGCCGGCAACACACACACACATTCACACAGTCACACACACACACACACACACACAGTGCCGGCACACACAGAGTGCCGGCAACACACACACACATTTACACAGTCACACACCCACACACACACACAGTGCCGGCAACACACACACACACACACACACACAGTGCCGGCACACACAGAGTGCCGGCAACACACACACACACACAGTCACACACACATTCACACAGTCAGACACACACATTCACACATTGCCGGCAACACCCACACACACACATCGCCGGCAACACACACACACACACACACCCGGCAACACACACACATTACCTGAATCAAAATGAAAAAAATGGACAAATTACCTGAGGAATCGCCAGGGAGGAGAATCGAACAAAAGGGAAATCGCCGGGGAGGGGAATCGCCGGGTTTGGGGGCATCCGACCTTGAGGAAAAATCCGACCGGGGAGGGGAATCCGGGTTTAGGGTTGGAGAAGAAGGGGGAGTCGATTTTGACTCCCCCAAATTTTGGTCAACCGGTTAAATACTCGTCAAAATCGGATTCTTCAAATCCGATTTATTCATTGAGAAACAAGGTCGGATTTTTTAAATCCGACCTTGGACAGAGAGTTACGAAGTTGGTTGCAAATTTTCACCAAAATCCGACCTAGAGTGAACAGTGCATAAATCGGATTCAGGAAATCCGGCTTTATGCCTAGATCGAATTTACAAAATCCGATTTTCCTTTGAACTCGGATTCAGAAAATCCGGCTTTATGCCTAGATGGGATTTTGTATTTCGGATACACGAGTACTAATATCAAACACAATAACAATATATTAACTAAACTAATTCATTAAGCCTCAAACTAAAGTATAAATATCAAAAGTTTCGAGACATGAAACATTGTGAAACAAAACAATCCTAGTCGTTGTGAATACCATCGGCGTCCCAATTGATCTTGAGCCTTGTCCTATCGGATTTCTTGTGTGATTTTGGGCACGCATTGGTGAAATGATTCCTTGAGCCACATCTCAAACATTCACCCCTCGATTTGCGTCCCCTATAATCCATTTGCATTTTAAATCTCTTCTTTTGCCAACGACCGGGTCCAGCATGCATAATAACTCGCTCGTAGTTAGGAACGAGTCTCCATCCAACCTTCGGCCATCTTCTCATATCAGGGACCGGGGAAAAGTCATCGCGCCCACTGAATTGGTCTTGCCAAGCAACAACCCTGAAATATGGATTTACCGTATTGATTGGTTGATCTTTTATCTTCCGACACACAGCTAGTGCATGTGTACAAGGGAACCTATACTCTTGCCACTTCTTGCAAGAACACTTCTTCTCTTCATATTTCACAGTGTACGTGTTATCCACTTTACCACCAAGTCGGGCTCTACTTTTCACCTTGAACTTGCCATTAATAGCACCATAACGGTTGACTTTGTGTTGCGCGGCTTTCTTTTCTTTTTTCTTGAAGTCTTCCCACAAGTCAGTTGGGACCGGAGTAATGCATTTCCTCGACTTCACGTATTCTTCCTGGAACAAATCCACAGTCTTCATAAAAGTAGCTTCCCCTGTAGCTCTCAGAAATGTTCGTTGTTTGGTTCCCCCAACGATAGTGTTTGTCTTTGGCAAGAGTCCACTGACAAGCATCAATCTCCTCGAGATACAAATAAGCATCATTGCTAAAATCACGTAGCTCATTCCTTAGTTCTTTGAATTTAGACTTAGAAAGTTTCGTGCCCATCTCCCAACACAACCTTTTGATCTTTTTACTTGAAACTGCGCCACCAAGTTACTACGGACGTGACGAAGGCAAAACCGGTGGTATGCATTCCATTCGGGCATTAGGCGTATTGCACTGATG